ACACACACACACACACACACACACACACACACACACACACACACACACACACATTATATTATCATAATTACATTATAATAACTATAGGCCTTCCACCCGTGACCCACTTGACTAACGCAGCAGCACCTAGCCTAGAGTTCGAATCCAGGCGGTGTCAGAATGACTCCAATCCTTCCTGGAATTAGATATATTATTTCCTCACAGGCTCATCTTGCCCATTACAGGAGCAACCACTCTGCTTGGCAAACAACTAAGATGTGTGGTCTAATAGTAATAGGGCGATGAAGCAGAGGTCAACAAAACAACAACAATCATCTGCCTCTTGCATTCACAGTGGTAGCCTACTATTTTTAGCATACTTCCTGCTGACCTGACCAAAAATATACACGTCATGTGACCATTTTTTCCTCTTCTGTGATTGGCTACCTTTGTTCCGTCAGTGTTTACAAACACAGCTCAAGCGTCCGTAGCGTCTCGGTACGATCAAACTAGCTGGCAGTAGAGACTGATGTTCCGCGCAAATTACCGATCGGCGCAATCTGCGCTGCGCGTTTTAACGATCGTATATTTTTATTGTATCATTCTTGTGAACTCTTCAGTTTCACATCTTAATAATTTTCATATTTTTACACTTTTAACAATATATGAATGTTCCTTGATGTGAGTAAAAGAATAAAGATGGAAGTGAATTAAAAAATAAAAATAATATTTCATAATAAATATGAAATAAATTAAATATGTAGTTTGTGAACTTTGAGTTCGACACCTGGCATTGCATTTTGTGAGCTCTTTTCTATGCTTTTTTAAGGGAAGGGGGGGGGGGATTTTTTTCCCGGGCTGTTTAATTTGTTAAGGCTTTTTTATGCTGGTGACGTGAGGTAATGCTCCTACCCCCCACCCACCACCACCACCACCAAAAAAATCAACTCAATGGTGGGTAGAAGCGTATAGAGCTTGCTTTCGAGTGGGGACATGCGCTATACAAATGCTATTTATTAGAAGACGTGACGTGATACCTTGAGAAGCAGAGATCCCAAGAGGTCGTTGGGTATGAAGGAGGGCTTGCTGGAGGACACGTGACTCTGCTGGACGGCGTTACAAGACGGGCTGCTGCTGGTGCTCGTGTTCTCTGTGGGAGGGAGGGAGAGACACGACACATGAAGAACATGGGGCAACTTCAGTACACATTATCCTTAGTTTTAGTAGGGGTTTTACGGCGCTCTGAACTGCATATGGTTATATGAGCGCCAGAAGAGTAGAGGTGTTAAACTATCCACTTTGTGGAAACAAAACAGAACAGAACATGGGACAACGTCAATACGAATTACCCACTTTTAATTCTAGTTTCCTCTTAGTGATGACAGTGTTAGTGCGTTTGCTGCCCTCCGTCTATACTATCACATTTTGAAAAGGAGTGAAAGGGGAGTGGCCAATAACCTGTGTGATATTTTTCATAGGAAATGTTGTTCGTAATGGTAAAACTGAAGGCAGACAAAGCAGGGGTAGACCCAGGGCAACTAACTTGAAAAGACTTAAGAGATGGATGACGAGGAAAGATCAGGATAATAGTATCGCTTTTTTTTTAGATCATTCGATGGGAGAGTGAGAGAGAGAGAGAGAGAGAGAGAGAGAGCGAGAGAGAGAGAGAGAGAGAGTGTGTGTGTGT